AACAAGTGCCACATGCGCAACACATGTGCCCAGCACGCGGCTGTCCGATGTTGCAAGTTTGCTGCGGCAACTGTGGCAACTGCGGCAGCAGCAGCCGCCCAACACTCGCCTGCCACGCTTTCAGCGCAGGCGAAGTGGAGAGCAAGCTCAACACGTGCAGGATAATCTTGTCAGTCGTCCGCACCCCTCATTGTCGAGGCTTCCTTTCCCTTCGTTTTTGTTGTCTCTCTGTGCTGTGTTTTTTTTTCTTCTCCTTATTCAATATAACGAACGCACAAAATAAATATTGAGAGCGTCGAGCAGTTGTGGTTCCCATGGATAAGGTTCGATGGCCCTCGGTTTGGTTAGGGGAAAAATATCCCACGGTTCGAGTGGCAGCTGCTTGCAATTTAGGCCACAGCCCGTTTCGTGTTGCTGTTGTTCCCGTTGTTGTTGTTGTTGTTGTCGTTGTTGTTGTCTTGGTGGTGGATGTTGACTGGCTGACACATATTGCACTTGCTGCCTGGCGAAAGTCTCGCTCGACCTCTAAAGCCTGCTCGGACAAGTGTGTCCACGAGTGTGCGTGCGTACGTGTGCGTGTGTATGTGCGAGTGTATGTGTGTTGCTCGCATCTCCTAATTGGCACGCGTTCAATTATCAAATGCTTACCAAAATTGAAAAGCCCCATTGCCGCCGCCTCCTGCGCCGCTTTTGCACCTGATTGAAATTTGCAAGTGCGCTGAAGCTTCTGGCCGTTGGCAGGAGTCGCGTGGCAGACGCACTTGCCTCGTGCTGCGCTGTGGCAGCAGCAGCGGGAGTCGCCTGCGGGGCGTTGGGCGGTCACGTGGCCAGTCATATATTTGATTTGCTTGCCACTTGGCTCGCTCTGTGGTGCACAAAGGTGGCGCAGCTCAGTTTTGTTTGATCGCCACTTGATTGAGTTTTTATGGGCGTTTTGTGGATTATAATTTGAGTGCTATTGCAGTCAGTTTCAATTAAAGCTGTGGCCGGGTGTGGCACGCGCCACATTTCGGGTGGTTGCATAGGAAATCGTTAGTTAATGGAATGTGGTTTTCAAGTGGTTGTAGCTATGGACACGTAAGTCTATCAGTGCGTGGCCTAAAGTGTCGCAGTGCGTTTACCACTAACCCAGGTCTGGTGGTCCACGTAGACTCAACTAATTAGAATCGTCGGCAGGTGTTGGGAACATTTGCTCTGGCGCTTCCCACGCAGATTTCTTTTGACAATTGCCCAGTTAACGCTCAACTAATTTCAAGTTGACTTTCCTGAGCAATAATGCCTGGGAAATATTCTCTTAATGCTCAAATAAATATGCTTTTATACACAGGCAAATAAGGTAAGCAATTCCAGGTGATTTAGGTGTTGACATTGTATCAACAGGGTTGGTTAACTTGAGCTTTGGACAAGTTCTTATTTGGTACTCTCAAAAGGTATTCATTGGTGAAGTGTGCGTGGAGTCTTGAGCTGTCAAAAAATATTAAAAACAAGTATTAGAAAATAAGATTTAAATTAAATAAAAAATAAAATAAGATAAAAAAATAAAAAATGTTGTCAGGCAACTTCAACTGAGAACCTTAC